GGCTGCAATACTTGGAGCCTTCTCCAGGCTGAACAACCCCAGCTCTCTAAGCCTGTCTTCATGGGAGAGAAGTTTCTCTGACTATTTTTGTGGCCCTCCTCTGGACCCAGTCGAACAGGTCCTTCTTCTTCTGTAAAGCACTTTTCAATGCATTATACTAGTGAATTTGTTTTCTTCTCAGATGTGGAATAGGATCATGATCTATTAAGGGGAGAAAGAGCTATGGAGCATGTTGGACAGCAGACCAGATGAACAAAGAACTAGTCTATAGTCTAGACCTGCGCTGGACTATGGATCTAACTTCAGGAGTTTCACTAAAAGAAAGTTTACCATTAAAAAGTCAGCAGGCAACTTGAGTACTTAATAAAAAATAAATCGACCATTGGATTCTCTCTGCTTTTGCATAGGAAGAAAGAGGAAACATCAGCTCCCTGTCAATTTCTCCATGCTACTCATGAGTCTTATTTTCACAGATTGCTTCTGCCATAAGAACATTTTTAATTGGATTTGATCCTTGAATGCTTAAAACAAAGATATCATAAATCATCCCAGAAAACTACAAGAGATAGAGATATAGGGGCTGAAATTCTGTCCCTATTTGCAAAGCAAAACTTGAGCCAAGTCCAGATTTCACTTATTTTTGTTTAGCTCAGGAAAATGCCATCTTGCATGGAATTTCTCATTTTTTAAATCAGATTTTAACTTACTTATTACATTTTTTTAAACTCTTAATACCAACTCCAAGCACTTGTCTGTTTTTTAAAGTGAATTCAATAAAATAAAATAAAATAAAATAAAATACTTTTTCATCTAATATATCCAACAGCCAGAGAAAAAGCTTTATTGCCAGGTAAAATTAATAGTCTGAGAGATGAATATGATTTTACCTGTGAGACAAATTTTAGGTTGAAGGCTAAATTTGCCTTGGCCTTAATCCATTGTAACATGCAGCAGTAGGCTGTGATGCACCTTACAGCAAGGGCTGAGCTAAGCTAAAGTTTAGTGTACTCTTCTGCCTATAAAGCACTCTCCAGGTTAACAACATGCATCAATTCTGCTAATATCAGAAAATGAGATGGTACGCTCTACGCAGTCCAGAAGAAATGGGAAAAAATTGCCTTTTTGGGGGTGGAGAGGAGGAGAAACTACCTTGCAGTCATTGTGGGTGTAGGGCACAAGCTTATCACTACAGTGACAACAGGAAAAGAAGAGGTCGGGATATCAGATCTCCAAGACTGTGAAATATGTTGAGAGACAAATGTTTGCACAACAATTTTCGTATGTGGGAACAAATATGTATTAACTTAAACTCTGTGTCTAACGATGCTATGACTGACTGCAAACAATGGCATGAGAACTCCATTTCTACGTTCCCACATTGCTAATGAAAATATGAGAACACCAAAGCAGCTAGAGGTAGCAAAACCCAATTAAATCTCAGGTTTCAGGCAATTTTGAATCTTTCTAGATGGGATTACAAATACTCTTTCCTTACTGGACCTTTTTTTTTCATGGAGAAGATGTCCAGAACCTTCTTTGAGATGCTTTTTCTTTTACATGCAAAAACTGTTAAATTCCATATTGATCTTAAAATCTAACCCTGTTTTCTCATAGCTATTTCCATCTCCATTAATGTCTACGCCTCACTATAGGGTTATCTTTACTGAAAAATCTCATTATTTTCATTGAGAACTAAATCTAGCTGGATAATATTTTGAATGTATCCAAATATTTGCATCTTTCTTGGAGTAAACGATTCTAGAGCTGGCAAAACCCCCTTCAGTTTTACATAGGTAGACAACAGATTTTTAAATGCCTAGAAAGTTTTTCTGATGAAATGGTGCCCAAAAACATATCTGAGTGAAAGAAGAAAACATCTAGGCATTTCTCAATTTTTGTGAAAATTTTTTGTACATATGGATATTTGCATCAAAAATATTTATTTAAAAAACCAACATTTTTGAATGAATTTTTTTTTCATCGAAGTAACCAAATCTTTATTTTAATAACCATATTTAACCACATTTCAGCTTGATGACCATATTCTCTGGCAAGAATTAGTAATCAGTTTCTACCTATCCTTAGAATATAAGATCTTACATAAACTCTGATTGTATCACTTGTGTCTCAAAGATACGATATTTACTCAACAAAGATCTGGCCAGAGGAAAACTCAAAATCATTTGTCAACTAATGTCTCATCTTTTATTTATATTCTCCATACAAAAAGTACTTAAGTTAAAGTTCTGGCTAGAAGAAATTCCTAGGAATGTCAGAATATTTTAGTTTCGGGATCTAAGTGAAAATAAAAAAAAGAGAACAAAGAGTACAAAAGAGAATTTCTTCACCTACAGGAGAGAAAATTAGGACCAGACCATGCTTTTCTAATGTGTCACGGGACATCTGCAGGAGTCAAAAACTACCAGTGGCCTTTAGTGGCCATTAAGAATGGAGCAAAAAGACAACAATTTGAGTTGATAAGTAGTATGCAACCCTCCTTTAGAAAGATGCTGATTATGGTTTTTCTGTGAGCATTGTCACCATCTTCATGCCTCTGCCCCTTCATCTCTCAAAGATCTGGGCAACATACCTGACAAGGCAGGAGAATTTGTGTATTCTGTCACAGTCGCTCATGACCTTTTATGTTTGGAAAATGTGCATCCTTTTATGCTGACAAAGTTTTCCTAGATAGCCATTTACTTTCTACTTTCTCTCTCTTCGAGGAAAAGACAAAAATACATTTTCTGAAATGAAAGTTTAGGTTTGCAAAAGTCTGATAATAACTGGTATTTTCCAGCAGTGGGTTGAGGGCACAATTAAATGATTACTGGTAAATTGGTTTTGCAGCTAGATTCTTATACTAAGTTTTAGGTTTTTGACTTTTTATTTACTTATATCAAAACAAAACAAAAAATAGGAGACTTTTCAAATTCCATTCTCCCGTTTCTGCAATGTTTTAATTCAACAGCTGTTTGTCCAGTCATTTTCAAATTATATAGAAAAAATATATCTTGTTCCACACAGTTTAAGAATACTACATTTTTTGTTGCTGAAGAGCAAAAATAGCCTTCTTATCGCAAAGGAATTGCAATAGCTGTGAAATTGCTGCTGTACCTTCCACAATTATTTGGGTTTCCTTTTCTTAGAAGAGACAAAGTAAAATAATTTCTTCAAATAGCAATAAATAATAGTTATACTCAAAAATGAAGCTTACACATAGGAATATAAGAATTCCTGTGATTTTATTTGAAGTTTAAACATTCTTTTCATTTAAGTATTTCTCCGTAGTCTTTTTAATAGAAAAAGAGAATATTCTCCTTTTTCTCTTCTAATAGAAAAAGAAAAATTTAATATACAAAGAAATGTAAAATTTTTTCTTTCACTTTACACCAGTGTAAATTAGGAGCAATTACAACAATGTCAAGTAAAACAGCTGTTGGGAAAGGCTAAAGCATAAATCATTAAGCACTTCGTAAAACTATAGCTGTCATGACAGACAGTACTTTGCATGGCATTAGGTTGAAGTAAAACCTAGAAAAAATATTCACAAAGTTAATCAAATGACACTTTGTCTATGAGTAATTGGCTTTTCGGAAATATTTGCACATACGAGAATGTCTTCTTTCTACATGAAATGCTTTTTACTGAAAAACCAGTCTTCCCTCCCATCTTACCTTCCCTTTGGAAAATTCTTAAATGAAATGCAAGGTCACGGGTTCGATTCCTGTTCAGTCCCCATGTGTTGCCTGATCTAGTCGAGAGGTGGCATCCCTGGCAACAGGGAGGCTGGATTAAAATGATCTCTAAGGTCCCTTCCAGACTAAGCTATTCTATGATTCTATGATAGTGCCACAGGGAAGTTGCAGCCCACGTTCTTATAAATTAGCCTCTGTTTAACCAATAGGCCACGTTCCCCTCCTAGACTAAGTCTCCAGTGATGCACCATCTTTGTTCTTTAAGAAGAATAATTACAAGGCATGGTAGGAAGCCCCAGGCCAGTGAGCTTACCCCGTAAATGGAAAATGGATAAGTGAGTACTTAATCTACTGGTCCCTTGAGAAATCACCTCCATAATATCCAGAGAGGAATATTTTAATTGTTGGAAAGTTAACATTTTCTTGGCATATAAATCTGTTAATTGCTTGTATCATTAGTATTAAATGGCAGCTCAAAGAGAAATTGTGAAAGCAAGCAAAATAACCAATGTTTTCTATTTCAAAGATCCTCAGAGATCTTCTGGAGCAACACTTGCAGACGTTACAGACTGAAGTGAGCTACCAAGGTTAAAATGTCCTGTCCTCCAGGGGTGCTAACACTTGTTATTCCTATTGGCCTGAGTAGGAATTTTGAGCTTATAGCACCTTTGAGCATCACATAGGTTTTATTTAAGTAGTTACTTTTCAGGCACTCAAGTCTGAAGAAGAAAATAATTGGCTATTTACTGTAATCTTATGAAAACATGTGTGACTTGAAGCACTTTGGGTTCACATCTTAGAAGCATGTCTGTACTTAGAAAAGTAGCCTGGAATCTCTCCATATCAATTTGAAATGAAAGTTCCATAATGAATGCAGAATTTACTACAAGTGAATTAGCAGAAAAAGAAGTGAAAAGTAATTCCAGAATATCACTAGTGCATAAATAAGCATTCCTTCTAAATAAGTAATTCATTTATAGAAACAGGATATAAATAAATTATGTTTGAGACTTCTTTCAAATAATTAGAGTTCTTTATATCATACATTTTAGAACATTCTACAGCATCTAAAATATATAAAAATAAATATCTACAGTATTTACAAGTATGATACAATCCAATCTCTAAAAAGATGTGTAAAGACACGTTCTTTAGCTCATGCTGAGGTAAGTAGGTTTCTGTAAGACTGAGAAGAAACAGGAGAGGCAGTCATTTTGAAGGAATCCCTTTGACTGGTTGTTGTAGTCTGTAACACGTTAAAAGAATGTGCCATGGTCTGGTGGTCTTACATGCATTGAGCCAAAGTCATCCTTGCTGTAACTCTATCGAGGTAAATTTAGTTATGCTGGGGATGAATTTGTCCCATTCTTCATTCTCTGTGTTGCCAGAGTCTTCTGCAGAAAATCTCACAGCTTCATCTAAATTTGAAGTCATGTTCATCCCTGGTATGTGGAGATGCAGTTCCATTGATTTCAATGGGCTGAGTGTACCTGTAAGATAAAGGTTTTAAGATGATTTTACTGTTTCCATCAGGGAGCTGAATGGCTCTACTGTGTGATTGTCACTCTCTGAACATTTTGCAGGTGATAATCTAGTAAAAAATTGGTCTGCCAGAAAATGTTCCAAATTGCATTTGCAAATTCTAAGTGAAGTCTTCTTGATTTCTGACACATAAACCCTGATTTTCTTGCTTTTAAATATTTCAGATCTGTTCTACTAGTTGTTTAACATGCATTACTTGGTATATTGCCCCCTGGCTCCTTAACAAGATGCCACTGTGACCAGCAGAGCATACAGCTTCCTCGTACAAGTCAATTATAGAATAGTTTGGGTTGGAAGAGACTGTTTTAAAGATCAACCAGTATAACCCCCCTGCCATGGGCACAGGACAGGCAGGGAAGAGAAGAGAATGATAGCACATAATATAGAGAGAATAAAACATAATCTAAAGTCACATCATCATCTGGATTTCACAGCTGTAACCTTGCTTGTTCCATACATATAGAATTGGCAACACTACTAGAGAGAAAAAGGTGAATTCAGGAAAAAAATATTCCTTTTATACTAAGTGAAAAGAACAGACTTCTTCAGACGTAATTTATTTCATTCCTTTTAGCTATGTATTTTAGGAACAGAAGAGTTGTCCTTGGAGATAGCGATTTCTCTGTTATCAATATATAGCTTATATAGTCCTAGTCTATAGTGTCTGAGATAACTTCTAGACAACGAACATTTACACCCCTAGGAGAGGAGGGATGAATCCTGTACCTGCAGTCCCTTGCAAAGTCCTGCTGGGATATGACGTATAATCTAATCATAGAATCATAGAATGGCCTAGGCTGGAAGGGACCTTAGAGATCATCTAGTCCAACCTCCCTGTCATGGGCAGGGATGCCACCTCTTGACTAGACCGGGCAACACATGGGGACATTCAGGCAGTTCAAGCTGAATTTTGCTTAAAATATTTATTATAAAACATACAACAACTCAGAGAATTAGCTTTGAGTGGAATACAGCTGCTTATAAACATACTGCAACTCCAGGGAAAATTATTTGCGTATTTTCAGATACCTGTTCTTTATTTACTTACAAGCACAGTTGTAGCATAATCTATAAAATATTTCTTGCAAGTTATTTTTCTTGAAGTAAGTTCCTAATTGTAAACACCTACCTCCCACTGCATTGCACTCAGATTCAAATATTGTTGTATGAACAATTAAATTTTACTTCCACAGCATCAAAAAACATAGGGACAAGTATACTACCCATGAGTGCAGTACCATTTGCTGGAAGTGTGTTTATGTTGGTCAGTACAACGTGTTCTGAAAGTTTCGAAATGTTATCAAAATTGCTGATCTGGGTGGTCAAGGATTTCCGACTCTCTGTACTGGCACGACCTCTGGTGAGCCGTTCATTCTGGTGACCATGAATGCCAAAGATGCAACAGGAAAACGCTGCTTTAAATTCTTCTCTAAATTTCCCTGTCAATCACAAAAAAGAGTCATGAAAAAATGGTGTTTTACCAAACCTTATAGAAGTAAGCAGCTATCTAAAGCAAAATTAACACAAACCACCCAGATGTTAATCCAATGCAGAAGTACAAAATCACAATTTCAACATCTTGCAGAAAAACAGAAAAAAAATAACCTTTGTAAGAAAATATGTGAGGTATGGTATGAAGCCTGAATTATTTTTGGCTAGACAGAACAGACAAACTAGAATGATATATGAAATCATGTCATGGGTGGTCTGTTGATTAATAACATATCTAACAAAAACAAGTAACTGATCAATCGTAAGCTTAAATGACCGAGTCATTGCTTGACACGTGAAATGAGAGAGCATGGCTAATTTGTATTTCATCTTGCATACATTTTAAAAGAAGATTCAAAGTGTTCGACAGCCTATGAGCCTGCTTTTGGGGCTCAGACTAAGTTGTTCAGCTCATCCACATGCTACACACCATAGAAAAAATACAGTGGGCAAATGCATATGAGGATCAATAGACTTTTGCCTTCTGTATTTAGCTGTAATACAGCCAGTTAAGGTGATGATTATGCTGTCCGTGGCCAAATAAGAAAAATTCAAACTAAGACAGATCTATACTAGCATGTAAACAGCATCCTGGCTGGTTGGTTGGCCTTGAACATAGTTGGCACAATTAGGTCATGCAAGTACTGTTAAATACTCACAGCCTCCAAAATCCAATACCTGCATATAAAAATGCCAACTGGGGACAGCCCCTGGCCTGTTCTACCCCCCTCCCCCGAGAGTATCTAGGGAGCGTTTAGGGGAACGGTAATAATTTCAACCCAAAGTCATGCCAGGGACCTCTCTGCCAAATTAATGGCATGGACAGTCAAATTCAAGCACTTGGACTCAGGCTCTGGCACTGTTTAGCTCTAGGTAGATAGCCTGAGGGAAATGGGACACTTCAGGCAACTTGTTCCAAGAAGAGGATCTCGCTCCCACCAGAGGAGCTGGGCTGATGTTACACAGTCATTAATCTTATTTGCTATGGCTCATTACATTCAAACTACACATTAAAATTGAATTCTAGGTAACTGTAACTCACCGCTGAGGAAGTTATAAATAATAGGATTGGCTGCACTGTTTGCATATACAAGCCAATGTGAGAACGTGAACCAGGCGTATACAGTTTCTCTGTCATCAGCATGATTAAACATCCCAAAAACCCTACAGAAAAAGAAAAGCAAACCTGAAAGATGGGAAAATTAGAAATCATATAAAAAGATTTGGCAACTTCTAGCTTCATTTTATCTCTGATGACCTATTTGCAGTATCGCAGAAAAGCTGATTCAACAATGTTTGCTTTCTTGAGAGAATTAAGTCCTCTCCCCATCCCTCAGCCTCCTGTCTGTGTGGTTTAGCACAACAGAGACCATCAGTACTTTAATTTGCAGTGGTGCAGATGCATAACTTTTCTGCTAAGTAACCAAAGTCAGCTGGTGTGAGATGAGCCAAGAAAAGACGGGAAAAATTACTTTTGACCTATTCATGTCATTGAGATTCCCAGCTCTAGGCCTGCTCTCCTGTAAGCAGAGGCTCTGGAATTTAAAAGGCACTGAACTGGCCCCAGAAGTGAGGCCCCAGTAAGAGCTTCTGTCCTCCAGAGAAATCTGCTTTGCCCAGATTCCTTACACCTAACGTTTCCCAAAAAAAAAAATCTAACTACTCTGCTATTGTAGTCAAGGTAGCCTGTGTAGTTCCTCTGTGGTTCAGATTGTAGGTGGCCTGAACTGTCTTCTGGAAATACTCCTTTCTCTCCACATTGCCTAACAAGGGACTTGAGGATGAAAAAATACTTAAATTAGGCCTCAGGAAAGTGCCAGAGTTGAGTGGGGTGTATTTAAGCCTTCCTATCCAACTCAAAACTATTCTTAAACACTAAAATGTTCCTCAAGCACCAATAATGGGCTGTTTATTTTTTAAGCTATTCAAATTTTCAGATGTATGTCGTTATTTATCAGTATTCCACAGGGCTCATCAGTTATAAATATACCAAAGCCATAGTCTGTCAGGCATTATACAAAAAAACAAGAGTGTACACAGTTATATCTCAAATGAACAGAAGAGATAGCTTCCTAAGCAATGTGAAGGGTTAGCTTGGGGGTCTCAGAATTGTACATGAAGGGGCTTGGGTTTGAACCCAGTGTTTCACAGTCCTCAGGGCCAAGCCACAACACTGCACTGTCCTGCTAACCTTCAGCCGCTGGTTTAGGTAAATGCACTTCCATGGGCACTTGCATTTACATCACACAAGCTGTAATCCCATGTAAATGACAGGTTTTAATGAGGAGATAGGTTAGAGCATTTTAATGAGGAAGAGTTTGCTAATAAGGGTTCCACAGTCTGGCCTTTAGTTCAAGTGCTACAGATAGACTAGATGTATTTTTTTCTTGCAACTGTATGCTTATTTTCCATTTCTTTATTGTGAAAGAAGTAAGTTTATCCTTCAAAAGTATCTGCCAGAATAACAGGACTCTTGCAACAGGGGCTTGGTTTTAGACTGAAAGCTTTACCCAGTGTTTACATTTTGGGATAAACTTTACCTTTTCAAGACATTGAGGATGCTAATTGGCAGATAGCAAAGTGCAAAAACCAGGAGGACAACCATCAGCATACGTGCTGTTTTCCTTCTTGCACGAATCTGTTTTATTTCAGCTGCCACGGCGCTAATCTTTGACTTTGTTGATTGTCCCAGCCCCCGGGGCTGTGCTGAGGACTGCAGAGGCTTCCACTTTTTCTGAACAACAGAAGAAGTTCCTGGGATCTAAGAAAAACAAAATGAGAGGTATTTTGAAAAAACTAGCTCTATGGGTAGAAAAATAGACATGTTGACATACACAATGTAAGCTTGCAGGGAGAAGTAAGGGGTTTTTTATTAAATTAATTGGTGCAGCTGCAAGAAACAAACCCAATTTTAGACACACCTGCATAAAATTTGTGTTTTATCCAAACATATCAACTTATGTGTTGTCAGACCATCACACCTACAAACTCTATTGCTGTGATTATGCTTCTATAAAGTTCTACCTTAAATGTTTGGTTGTACGGAAGAGTAGTTTTTCCCATTAATATGCCACTAATTTAAGACACTAACCAGGTTTTCAGCATTGGAAAACAAAGATTTAAAGCTTACATAGTTTTAAGTGCCATAAAACTTCCAAATATGCAATCTAGATGACAATGAGGCAGCCAAAGAAATCACAGCTGAAGTGTGGATCTCCTTGCAAAGCTCTTCAAAACTGAATGTATATACAGTGAATCATGGAAGAGTGCCATGACATAGGAAGAATTAGATTAGCCAAAACCACATTGCAATGGGTAGATGTAGCATCACGCTATTTAAAAAAAAGTTTTTGTTTTCCTGTGCCCTCACATAAGCCAAGCCAAATAAAGCAATTTTGATTCAGTTCTTCAAAATTATTTCCTGCCTGCAGCCAAATGTGAAAGACTACAGATGGCAAGGGCTCTATTACAATGACATTTATAATGTTTCAATGTTATACATTGTGAAAAGCTTTTGTAAAGAAATACAGTTTTATTCATGCATAGTGCAATTGTTTGTGGGGTGAGTAGTTTCATGAGTGTAAAATAATTCACGTTTAAAAGCATTTGCAAAATTCAAATTGTCTATTTAAACACTGTTTAAAAATAGGGCTTATCCACACAACCTGACCAGAAAAAATGATTTTTTTTTCACAAAAAATGTAATAAGGGAATACTTGTTCTAAAATAAAAGCATGCATATTCAGAATTGTCCTGTGATTGCTATTATGTCATTTTTTTGGTAATAGCTTCCTTGCATAGACAAGCCCTTAATTTAGCATTTATGTGCACCATCAAACCTGATTTACAACAACTGGAATGTTTTGGCAGAGCTGTGTTGTAATGAGCACAAAATCAATGAAGCAGAACGGGCAATATGTTAAAATATTTATTTTTTACTAATGTGTCTATGGATATAAAGCAAAAAAAGCCCCAACCCTTGCATTACTTCTACTGCGGGTTCCCACTCATTCAGCTGAAATAGCAGTATCAGTTTCATACCTGGACATGTCTGTCAGCTGCAAGGGATTTACCCTACATAGCTGTGGGGTGTAGCATTGCCATGTGTTTGACATGTACTACTGAGATTCTGCCTAAGATTCTGATTCTGCCTAAGATTCTGATTCTGGCTTATCGGGGTACTTTGATAATCTGTTCTCCTAACCTTGAAGCAGAAGCTTTTCTTTCTTCTTCAATTGTACTGAGTCACTGCACTGTAGCAAGAACCAGAGATGGAATCAGATAAATCCAGGCCAATCTCTCCCTCCTGATTATGCCAAAGATTCACCTGAAGAAATCAGTGACCAGTTTTCATGGTAGCTAGATGCGATTTAGGTGAAGAGAAACATTACCTGGGCTCAAAATCGTGAATGGCTATTTCTACAGAAATGTTAGACATGGCTCAGTACATGGTTTGTACCTGTGTGTGCAGGTAGAAGGGTCTTTTCTGGTACTTTAGCAGTCTTTAATAGCAAGAGGTGTTCAAAGATAGTACTGTATACAATGTATGATCTCACTGTACTATATATTAAGTGGCTACATCTTTAGGAGTTTGTATTGAGAATCTTTCAAAAGAGCCCCATTTTCCTCAGTCTTTACCTGGCATATACCTGGGCTTTGCTACTGTTACACCAATGGACAATAATACAGCAAAAATTTTATCATTAAAAAAAGAAAATTAAGAACTATATACCCACAAATGCACAGTTGAACCAGTACCATCTAAGCAGTATAACACTTGACAAGTGTGTGTGTATGTATACAGAAACAATTACGAATATGTATTTATGTAAATACACATACGTGTATTACAAGTGATAGGACAAGGGGGAATGCCCTCAAGCTGCACAAGTGAGGTTTATATTGGACATTAGGAAAAACTTCTTCACTGAAATGTGTGTCAAGCACTGGAACATGCTGCCCAGGGAAGTGGTTGAGTCACCACCCCTGGAGGTATTGAGAAGACATGTAGATGAGATGCTTAGGGACAATTGTTTAGTTCTGGACCTGGCAGTGCCAGGTTAATGACTGCACTGGATCTCCTTAAAGGTCTTCTCCAACCTGAACGATTCTATGGTTCTATGATTGTGTATGTACAAGTATACATATGCAGCATAATGCATATATTTGCATTTCAGTAATGAATCAGTTATAGAGATAATTGTGGAGAATTTTTGTAATTACAATGATTCACTGAAAACCCACTAGCTATGTCCAAAAGTCTCAGTTACTTTCTTGCTCACCTTTGCTCTATCTCCTCAAATTATTATCAAGGGGTTTATAACCAGAGGAAATCTCTCCAAATGTAATAACAACTTGCAAAGATTGGAAGGGTATATCTCAGCTGCCAAAATGAAAATGGGTAGGGTTCCTAGTTATTAATATGCGTAGGCTTCAGTGTAAATGCATTTGGACATCAGTAAGCACATGGTATGGAACTTGATAATACAAATTATGTATAAACATTTTCATCATAAGTCCATTCAGTCTTATTTATTCATTCAGAAGTAACTTTTATTCTACTTAAAATCTGCAAAAGAACATAGCCGCCTAAGTCACTACTTCCTTGCCATTAATGAAATAAATTACTTAAAATGCCTGGTGTTTGTGGCATGATTGTTCTTGTCTTTAAAAAGATGAATCATTAATTCAAAGATTGTAAAGCTTATATTCAAAGATCTGCTTGAAAGATACAATTAGTAACTTTAAGAGCTATTGCACAAAGTGTAGTAAGGATAACTTGTAAATCTATCTTGGCTTTAGTCTGAAAATTTGCATGAACAACACACTCCAATTTAAAAAAGAACCTTTAGAAAGGTTGTAAGGCATAGAAGACACCTACTCTTTGCTGTGTTTTTTCTATCATCTGGAAGATTTATTGTGCCTTGCAGTAGGATCATTGTATTTAACTGAAGTCCTGGTAAACAGCATGATTTCTTAATCGAAATTACTATCAAATAATACATTTAGAGCACTGCATTCATTTGCTCTACATGACTGATTATGGCACATCTGTTGCACTTAGAAAAATGCCTGATGTCTGCAGCCAAGTCACAGTTGATAATATACGTGCAGTGGTTGTAATTTCATGTAGTGCAGCCTCTTATATATAGTGCTATTCTCTATGCTAGGAAAAGGAGAAAGCTGTAATTTTGCATCATTGATAGCATTAAGCCTGTAACAGTATTTGTCTTTTTGCCACTGAAAAAAAAACATCCTTACTTTTCAGTATACAAGATGTACAGGGAGAAGAAATATTGTGAAGAAGAAAGAGGCCAGCTAATACAATTAAAGTAGATGAAGTGGTGATGGGGAAACTCAACAAACCAGGTTGGTTACCAGTCATTCAGCTTGTGCTCTGAACCAGCATTTTCAAACTACGTGCAGGTTAAGAACAATGGCTTTGCATTAACTTCATTAATCAACAGTTTGAGAGGAGAGGTAGATTGTAAAGAGAGTACAGAAGGGAATCATAGAATCATAGAACAATTCAGGCTGGAAAAGACCCTTGGGATCATCGAGTCCAACCATTGACCCTACACTACAAGTTCACCCCTAAACCATATCACCCAACACCACATCTAAGCGACACTTGAACACATCCAGGGGTGGTGACTCAACCACCTCCCTAGGCAGTCTATTCCAGTTTCTTCCTAATGTCCAGCCTAAACTTGCCCTGTTGCAACTTGAAAGATTAAGAAGGAATATGGTGATATGGTCATTGAGTACTACAGGACAGATACCTATTCAGCAATGCAGAGCATCTTAGTGCTATGTTAGTCTCAACTTAATTTCAAAACTAACTGATCAAAACCTTTGTTCTGGTGAAAAGTCCTCCCAAACTGTAAAAGCTAAATTTTACCTTCAAACTATCTTGTTATTTTATCTCATAAATGTAAACAAATTAAATGCAAAAATAATAAATTAAAGATAAACAGCAGCTCTAGTTTAACCTAATCTGATTAGAAGTGAGAATAATTGCTATTATGATGCATGGAAGATAACAAAATGCCTTAAAGTGGATTTGTTTTTTCCTACATTTTAGTTATTTGCAAGAAATATGTTTTGTCAATGTAAGATTTGATTTTTATTTTTAATATATGTATATTTAGAAATCTAAAGTCTGACTGTTATTTCTCTAATGGATCAATGTGAACTGCATGAAAATTGCTCCTGATGCGGCAGATAGTTATGCTCTGGTCAGGAGAGCCTAAAATTTGGATGATATCAGACATAATGGTGAGAGAGAAGTGATTCATGCCCATATCTTGATTGAAATGTCAGCCAATGTTACAGTCATTTGAGAGGACAGGAGAGGGAACATCTTGCACCACGGCTTCCATGGGATGAATTTATGGTCCTCTATGAAATGACAAGGCAGGGGGTAGCGGAGGACTACAGCTCTAGATAAAACCCAGCTAAAGTAAAAGACAGCAGAGAGAACCACGGACTAATGCAAGACAGATTACAGTTCACATCCAGAAAATTATTCTCAAGCTGACACCACTTTGAATTGTGGGAGGCGGAAAAACGTTCCTGAAAAAATTCATGTAATTGTTATCACTTCAATTAAAACGTTTTTTGTGTGCTTGCTTGCTATTTTGTTTTTTCGTTGTTGTTGTTTAGTATTTGTGCTTTTCTTCCTGTATTTTTAATTTGAAGCTTGAAAAAACTGATGTTCACATTAGATATCACACTAATTATTTGTCAACAATTCACATCAAATGTTAGTGACAACAGCCAGCTTCATATAAGGCAATTTTAGTCTCAAATAGTTCTGATAGTTGTCTAGTCTAACTTTTGTTCAGACTGGACCTGCTGTGAACCTGAAATGTTGCAGAATGAAAAATAATAATAAAAAATTGTGCAGACCACTAACAAAATGAGATCAATCCTAAGTTTTGAGTATTACAGGAGATTTTAACAGCATAAACAAGGTCACCTAAGGTATTTTGGTATGCATTTCAAATACAGCGAGAAAGATCTTTCTTCTCCCTATAAATCAAGCTTTATGTTGCCTGTTTCTGTCTTTCTCTCCCTCTAAGCCTGTCATAGACACGAGCAAGAAGGGGTTTACATTCAGCCTGATTGCCTTCATTTTTAATGCTTCCCAGTGTCTATCCAAGGTGGCTGTAAGCCAGCAGCATCACTGAACCTGCGAACAGTGTTGGATGTAAAAGTCCAGGAACTAAATGACAACATGGAGCATCTAGAGAAGGCTGTACATAGGAATCTGCTCACAGTCACAACAGCAAGCAAATAGCTAGTGTTAAGTGACTTACCTGGCGACACCACAGCTTTCGAAATATTTGCAAATAGGCCAACACCATGAGACACAGTGGTGCCATGTATGTCACCAGAAAAAAGCACGTATGATACATTTTAGGGTAAACCTCAGCTGGAAAGAGAATTCAAATAGGAAAAGTGCATTTAAATATACATATATTTCAAAATCACTTTAAATCAATTTATTCATATAGGTATTCATGTGGTTTTTTTGACCATAATAGGTTACAATAGAAGATGTATTCAATAATATTAAGGTCAGGATTTATTTTTTAATCATTTCTATAGACCTTCTACTTCTATTATAAATATGCTTTTATCTTAAGCATCTCATATCACATTATTGCTTTCATATCATGTTATTACTTTAGGTATCAAGTCTTAAGAAGTTCTGATTTTTATTAATCAGTGAATGATAGAAAACTTCACTATCTAACAATAGCTAACTATTTATGCAACCTAGCTTATGCTCATCTTGGTGTATTTAACAGGTTATGTAACTGTCTTTAGTTTTAATTCTGCAAAGACTATGTATCCGTGAGTAAATTGTAGTCTCTCACCTATAAACACTGGATGCTGATGAGAGGAGAGATGCACATTTCTTAAATCACTTTTTAATGTCAGAATAAAGGTGATTAAGACTCAGTAATTACTACGATTACATTTTAAAAAATAGAATGAATTTGGTAAAGTGCTCCAAGCTTTGGAAATTTCCAAGATTATTTTTGACTCAGCTTTAACAATAATGAGCTCTAGTTTAACAATAGTGTACTCTAGTTTCCTGTGCATCACCTTTCAAAAGACAATTTATGAATGTTATTTGCTTAGAGACAAACATCTTACAAGTGTTGTGAGTGTATTGTGTTTTAAGACTTGTATCATAAGCTTCATCATTAGATTATAGCAAAATGTGCAGTGGAAAATCTGCTTTCACTTTTGAAACACCAAATGTATTATCAAATTGCAACTTAACATTTATGGATGGCCTCAGAAAAGGAATGAACATTATGGAGAGTGACAATATGTAGCAGAAGAGAAACTGTGCCCTCCGTGAGCAGGTATATTACATGGTAATACTAAGCATTGCATTTTGCCTTGAGTAAAGAAGGCATGCTTAGGTTAATTTCCAGAATTTCTGAATGTTTCAGGATGATAAGATCTGCAACTAAAACTCTGTACTGATTGTAGATTTAAATTAAAAAAAAAGAAAGAAAGAAAGAATTGTTGCATGGGATCAAAACGTTAATGAGTGAAGCTTATTTTCTGCCTCTCAAAGTAACTGAGATTGTGGATCCTATCAAACAAGAGGTCCCACTGCACGCCAGGCGAATCCCTGAGAGTTTGATTAGACAAGAAGATACAGAGAGTGGGCCCATGACTCTCATAGCAGAGAGGAGTACACCATCAAGTTAACTCCAGGCTCACCCTCAAACTCAGACTCGAGCAGTATCACATTCGGTGTTGGGCCTGAAAGTTCCATCTGGTTCACCAGTCACAAAAAGTTCAGATACCAGGGAAACAGAAATGCTCTAGCAAAATCCAGCCCATACTCATCGCCAGCATATGTAATAGAGCTATTTGACAGCTTTGATGGATCAGAGTTCAAAAAATTCAGATAAGCAGCATTTGGCTCCTTATGTCCTGTAAGAAAACCAGCTTGTCAACTCTTAACTAGCAGCTGGAGCTAGTAGCTCTTGTCAGTGACCCTCAGGGAAGCAGACCATTTGGGGCAAGGTTTTCTTATAATTGATGATAGCCTGGGTTTGTATACTGACTGATGATCTCAAACGTGTTTTGCATTCCAGAAAATACAGCCTCACAGCAGTTCTGTCAGGCAGGGAAATACCGACATTCATGCTTCACAGGTGGGGAGATTAAGAAGAAACTGGAGTATGGTGACTTACTGGGATCACGGGAGGTCAGAGCTGAAAGTACATTCTTTCTGCCCAGAAGGAGGTGCCACCTGCCTCCTCAGTGCTCTGCAGGCAGCCAGGCCCCTTTCAGGTAGAAGGACGGTACATATTTAAAAGGCCATCTGGAGTTTATGGCTTCCAATTTAGCATTCCAAGTAAAGCAAAACATTAAATGAGCCTAGCTATCTACAAAGAACTGACGGACCAGGTTGGAGGAAGATCCTAACACTTGCCTTTGAAGTTTAGCCACCTGGAAAGTGCCAGCTGCTAAACATCAAAGGAAACCTGTCCCTCCTCCACCCAGGGCAAAGCTCTTTGTAGAACTTCTCCCTAAGAAGCATGACTCTGTTTAGCTTCTCAAGCCAAAGAAAAACTTTAAAGCTGTTTGACAATCACAGGAGCAAGAAGGAGGAAGGGCTGGTTTGGGATACCATTCATTTATCAAGTAAGTGAGTTCCAGGCTCCTTGAATGAGAACATCAATCAGTCTATGGTCCTGGTGATATATCAGCTGTCTGACTGGGACTGCTGACCCTCCTACTGTCAAGTAGAAGAGGACGAAAGTATCTTTGCCATTCATGGTCATTTAATAGGTTTCAGGACAGAGGGAAATCATTCTCAGCTGGAGTAGCTGTCTCTTTTAGAAGAAATTCATGATTCTTGCATCACTGGCCACTATTTCACTGAAGAGAGAGAATGGGACCAAAAGCAAACTGGTGGTCATGAGGATTAGAGTGGGGTGAGACTGGTGTTCCTATTCAGCACCAGTAGCACAGTATGATCACTCCACTTGATACATGATCAGAATGCTAAACCAAACCTTCTTCTGTCTGTAGCAAGGGTTATTAAACAAATTTTAAACTTTTCTGAAGTTTCCTTCTAGGTACTGTGTTCCAGTCCCAGATTGTTGTGCAATGAAGCAAGGAGATAGAATATTGAAACTAGAGCCTCTGGATTTTTGCCAGAATTCTACTGTGTTTGTATAAATACATATACGTACATGTATACATATACATAAGCATACAAACTGAAAACAACGAAGACTCAAATGTCTAGCAAACTAAATATTCCCTTAAGCCGCAGATGCATAATGAAATTGGTGCACTTGATAGCTTCCCTAAGAACAGGGAAAAACAACAAGATTATCAAGTTTGGTGAGCATCAGTAGAGAATTCTCTGGTTTCCCAGTCTCAGGAGGATACCTATGAGGTTTTGGAGTTACCAAAATGAAGAAGCCAAGCAGCTAAAAGAGCATACTTTTAGAATAAAGCTTAAAAAATAGGGATGTTATCAACTGAGTGCCCATAGTAGAAAACATTCAACCACATAACACAGGCCTTTCCAAACTACGTTGCTATGTCAGAGTACTTACAGTTAGCTGATACTAAAATTCCATTTTCAAGTCTGATGTATTATGCTTATCAATTCATGATAACACCAAGCCTAATTTCAGTATTAGCAATATTCTGACTTCCTTCTGCATTAAAATGTCGCACAAGTTCTTCCTTAAATTCTAAAACACTTCGATAAAAAGGACATATAAACATTCATGTAATAATGCAATCTCCAGCTATTTGTTTTCCAGAATTAAGACAATATGGTTTATGTATTATTTCCTGAGTAGTCTATGGAACACAAAGTCTTCTCTTTGTTTCAATCATGTAGTTTTGGGAAAGGATTATCTCCTTATTCTTTTTATCATTTGCAAAGGGGTTGGCTAATGCACTTTGGCTAACACTCGTTTTATGAACAGCTCTAAGAGAATGCATTTAGCTGACTTGGACACATGGTGAACTCATTTTAATATATGTTTCTTGTATTTTGGCACTTTATCATCAAATTCAGCACATAGCAATTACAGACTATTATAGAACTGTGGCCAACACCAGCTCCTTAAGTGAGCCTGCGCAGGTCACATGTTGGATCCTTCTGCATTCCCAAATAAAATATTGTTATTAGACAGTACTCAAAATGAGAAACCTTCAGCCTAGAATTGGCAATGAATTTTATATTTAGGAATGCCAGAAGCAATTAAAAAGAAATTGAGCCCTGTTTTAGGCTGAACTATTGCTCCATTTGCAGTCACTGGCAGCTCTCCAACAGCATGCTTGAAATCTTATTAGTCAGGGTGGCCACTATTTGTTCACTGTTAAGAAGCCTAAATGTCACAGCGCTCATCAGACCTTCCTTCTAGACACTCATCAGACTTGTATGAGTTTCAGCAGCTGAACTTAAGTGTGGTTAGGGTACAGTGCTGTCTCCTGCTTTGGCATCTCTGACATTTTCCTGGACATGGCTTCCCATTAGCCCTCCATAGCACCTCTTATTTCAGTGGTCCTGAGTTCCCAGAATTAGAACAGATTTCCAAAACACTTTGCAAAGTATCATTAAGCTACCTCTTTTTTTGCAGTCCCAACCTTGGAAATTCACAATTTAACATCCTTGGGATATACAGTGTACACAACGCTCTGCAAAGATTTCACCATACATACCCTAATTTCAGGCAGCTTAAATTATAAGCAGTTCTAAACAAACTAGTAAATACCTAAATAAAATCCTTTCCTTTAAATTGACTCTCCTATAAGATTTACTCAGGGTCTCTTGAGTGTGTGCAGTATCTACATCTCTATCTTGTCTTTGCAAATACAGCTTATTTGTGGGAACTTGAATTTCTTTCTCCTTCAACCTCCTCCTAGTTAGCTCTATTTGACCCTTGGTATTCCCATAGTCAAAAAAGGCAAACCAAAATCCAACAAAAATGTCACTACTTTCTTTGAAAATGTTAGCCCTTTATTCCTTCTTCTGGTCTCAAGGCTCACCAGTCTTTTCAAACTGCTGCCCTGTTATCCATGTTCTCTTGTTCTTCTCTTTGGGGGCCTTTGTGACTTCAAACCCTTGGTTTTCAGTAGAAAAACTGCATCGTCTATGCTTAGGACCAACTCAGCGTCCTTAGACGTTTTCAACTGAATTGAAATTATTTTTAGCTAAGAACACTATTCTCCATAGTCTGAAAGGGATGTTAAAGTATGTGTGTGTGTGTGTGTATATATCTCTAATCCTCACTGATAATATATTGTTAGCTCTACATATAGTAATTTCACAATTTGAGCAACCTACTTGTAACTTAGTGCACAGAAAGGTTCTACTCTCAAGTCAATATGACAAGCTATTATTAGAAAGTAGAGAGGATTATTTTTTATGGATAGCTGAAATGTATCAGCAGAATAATTACCCATGATGATGCGTTATCATTAGAAGAATAATTCATTAAAAAGGCAGCAAGATAAAAATAGGATTGCTATCTTTTAGTGGAATGAAAATCTTCCCATTTCAGAAAACTTTAATGTATTTTTAATGTAAAATTATTTTCATTTCATGCTCAATATAAATTTAAAAAAAACTCAAACAAAATCATTTTGGAATGTTTGCACTTCATTTCTGAAGCTACACACAAAAAGAACTTAATTCTATGCAAAAGTACTTGCCTTTGTTATACCCTTTTCTACCTCTCCAAGCATCCCAGTGAAGGCTCACAGAATAACCTGAAGATGAATAGATTTCAATTTGGACAAACATACTCCATAGAAGTAGAGTCTTGCAAAGACATGGGAGTTTTTTCTCCTTTGTATAATAGGTGCTTTAGCTCAAGCATATCTGTGAGCTGCAACTACTTCAGCACAGCACTGAAGAAGAGGCACTCTAAAATAATTCCAAGGCTACTACAGATTGTGCAGTTCAAAAGCAATGCGCTCCTGTTGAGAATCAGAAAGCGGCCAGTGCAGATCTGGAAATTTTGAGATTGCATTCCCTGATGATAATGCTCTCCTGACTCCCTAATTAATTAACTACATCATTTCCATATCCTATGTTGATTAAAAGAATTTTTGCTGCAGATCTAAGCTTGAAGGGATGGAGGCATACATAATTAGTTCTGCAGCCAAAAGGAGCGGACACAAATTGTACTTGGAGCAAATGCTGTGAAAGAGAAGTCACATAACTACTGCAGCATCCAGCAGCAGACTGGGATACAAAATTGTTCACAGATGAAGAAAAAACACTAGAAGTAAAGAGCAGACATGTCCTGTCCAACAAAACAGCAAATACTCATTGCTTAACAGAGGCTTCCTCTAACCTACAAGCTTTCAGCACATCTGTGTCTACAATGAGTGCCAGCTAGCTAATGGCCATCTCTGCCCCCTTGCCTTGTCCCAGAGGACTAACCGGGATGAAGGAGATAAAGAACAGGGAATGCGATAGCCACTGTCTTCTCATTAATCCCTTGGTGGCTCTGTGGAGGCCGTTAGCAGGGGAGGAACTTCCAAAGCAGCACATGGAAGAACCCACAGCAGTTCAAGCTGCTTAAGCTAATTTATCATGATAATTAAGTACAGGTGATCCAGTTGCATTTTATCTTAATTGTTCACAGGACCAGAATCACCTTCTGCAGAGACAGCTCTGGGAGAGAATCTGATTGTGTTGTAGCCTATCTTGAGGCTATTAAACAGGCACCTTTTAGTTATATGTTTTGGCAAACTTGGCTTTATTTTCCTGTGTGTGAATAATGGTATTACTGATGGTCATTATATCCAGTGTCAGAGCCACAGCATGTAACTCGATGCTCTGTTAGCGTTGGAGTTATGCCAAGGCCCACCAGAGTTGAGGCTCAACCATTTGAGTGGGTGGCTAACACCACTTGCTGCGAACGGAGACTAAATAGAAGTAGTTACTCGCTGGCAACCATTACTGTTTCTTACAGCTGAATTCAAATAGAGGACAAGTTAAAGTTAAGCTGGAAAGGCAGAATTATACTTCTTGGATAGAATCTTTTGTAACCGACCACATTTATGAAGTTATTTAAATGATCTTGTCCGTGGCAAGTTTCGAATCGTGGACTAACTCCCTACCCCATATAAATGGCAGCTCTGTAAATTCTGTAATGATACGCAATTTGCACTGAATTCCCAGGACATATCCATAAAGACTAATCAAATATCAGCAGTGAGCATAAGAAATATATCAGGTAAACAGAAATTCTATTCTTGTGTAGTTATTTCTTAAGGCTAAATACTGAGGTCTTTCTAACCTGCAATGTCCAACGATCACGGAATTATATAAGAATAAGCATTTAAGGTTGGGAACACTTCTATCCTCTGGCAAACATTAACATGGTCAAGACACAAGCAAGCCTGCTTCATTTAAGCTTGGTTTCAAACGTAGTTTAAAGTCTTAGCAATAAAAAAAACACCAGGATTTCACAGCATTTGAAAAACGGTAGTTCTAGGAAAGCTTATATAATTAAAGAACATTTTGTGATATGTTTATGTAACCTGACTGCATATTAATATGCCCTGATATTTTTATTACAGAACAGCAGTACAAATTCAGTCTTTATGGTCAATGACACACTCACCTCCCCAGTGCTCGTCACACACTGTGAACAAGGTGGTTTTATTGGCTAATCCTGGGAACACACTGCTGCACTCCATAACAATAGCCTGAGGAATCATTATGATGCAGGACACAATCCATATAATTATAATGCTGTTCCTTGCTCGCTTGGCTGTGCTTTTAAACATCAAAGGGTGACAAATTGCATACCATCGATCCAAAGCAATGCAGCTGAGTGTTAGTACAGACACAGAGACTGAAACTGTCTAAAGAAAAGAAAATATTAGGTAAATGTAATTTTTTAAAAACTTTTAAAAATTATTTGTTGTTTTTCCCAGTTTTAAAAATTATTTCTATTTTCACCATGGTTAGCTCTTCATCTAAATTTATCAAATAGATACTTATTATTAATTAAATTATTTCATTATAATATATTAAATTATTACATAAATATTTTCCTCAGAAAAAGATTCCCTTTAAAATTACTTCTTGCAGATTTACAACAGATGTCTTCGTTTTCTCAAGTACCAACAGAATCAACAGTACAAATCACAGATTAGGGTGCTATCTAAAAAAAGTAGGTTTGGCAGGGTATGATTCTGAAAGAGCAAACTTATGCCACTTAGAATTTGCAAAACTTTGTCTGAAAATCTACTTCTAAAACATTAGACAACCAATTAGATCTTTCTTATCTTTGCAGAATGATTTGGCTTGCTTGTTTTCTGTTTTGTATTTGGATACCAGTACCAACATCTTGCCTTTTCAGTTTTCACAGGAACAATGGAAATTCAGGGTCTCATTAAAAAAACCCAACAACAATCAGCTTAAGGCAAACTAAATCATTTTAAATTCTATTCAACACAGAAAATAACTTATTACTTTGGGTTTACTCTTTCACTCTGTACACTAGATGATCATTTCACTTTTTCTTCCACTAGAACGGAGGTATTGAAAAAACTTTGTGATTTTGATTGTATTGAGTAGAGGATGTGCTGGAGAACTGTTGCACCTGACAGTGTGGCTCTTCAGCTATACAGGTATCTGCTGAAAATATAAAATGTACTGGAGGCACAGAACTGATTACCTGCAAGCATTCAGAGTTATGCTTAATTCTTTTGATTTATAATGAGTGAAAATCCAAGCAGTTGTATGCCCAGTCAGTTCATCTAACCAGCTAGTCTTAGAAAAGGTTATTTGTCAATCATTTTGATGTAAATGATCTCATAACTAATTAAGTCCCCTGGTAAATGACTGGTAGCAATTATTGCTTAAGGCAGACAATCTGATCAGGTCCCAGCAAACCTGGATACTCTAACTATCTCTAAAGAAGATAAAGTCACTGAAGACATATGAAAGCCCAGACTCCCTTCAGATGTTCAGATTGTCTGTCCTGGACACTTGTGTAGCTGTTTAGGTCCACACATGGAGAGTATAAAGGACTGTAATTCTATTTAAAGACATTTTTATTGCTTTATATCCCTTCTGAATTATTAAAAATGACCACACAAACTTAAGAGCATCAGACTAATGTTCCAGAAAGTGTACTGCCCAAGTCTAACAATCAGATGGATCAAGAACAATATTTATTAATCATAAACATATTCACAAGTGGAACAGCTCTCAGCATGTACCCTGGGATATCTACCTCAGTGGCAGGGACAGATTTCCATCCAAATATCACTATTAGGAAGATGTTATGTTTCTTCTTTTTTTTTTTTTTTTTTTTTTTAGCATGGGTAACATGTACACAAGCACAGTAAAATGATACCTGTAAGTAGGGAATCGCTTTGCAGAGGGGGTGCCCAAAGAACCATGTTTCAGTGATATCCACTACTAAAGTTGCTGGAAGACATGTAATTGTGACCAGAATGTCAGCCAGAGAAAGGTTCACTATGAAATAGTTGGTAACTGTCCGCATGTGATGGTTCTTCCACACTGCAATGCAAACTGAATTTGGAAAGATAAGTTAGTGGGATGGAAATGACTTAAGGAATACTTCAAAAGGAAAAAACTTGGCTTTGCAGAATTAAGGAAATGTTTGTGTCCCTTGTTTAACACAGAATACTTGAATATATAGTTCAGCGTAAGAACTGTGTGTTTTCTTTTAGTGTGGAAAAAATAGGGTACATGTAGAGAAAATATTAGTTCACAAATAATAATTTTCCACAGACCACAGCATGGGAAACAATCTGATATATAAACCATTTTATTTTCCTGCTAGTTTATCTTCACTAAGTATTCACACAATTTTCCTCATGTCTATTTTAATCCATTTGCTCTAGTCTATGGCAATATATACCTACAGTCGTATAAGTTTATCTTTTTCTTTTGATAGAATGATGCTTAATTCAAATTGCTACCACATAGAATCTTGTAAACTGTACCAACACAACAACCATTTTATAAAATATTTTGCTGGGCTTAATATATCTATTGCATCTGCAGGGAATCTGTAACAGCTGTCTGGGTAAATGTGACATAAGTAAATAAAGGTAATTTTTGCAGTATTAAGTGCTACCCATTTTAAATGTGGTATATTTGTGATGGTGATTACTGTGATCAAAAGCAGCATGTGGAATACACTTTACAAGATTTGACCTTAAAGTTTGCTTTATATCTTTTCCCTCTCTTGCAATTTGAAAGGCTTTTAGAAATGAGGCAAATCAGTCCTTTAACATGGTTGCATTAAATTCATAAGCTAATACATTAAAAATGACAAAACCGAGTCTCAGAAACTAGCCTAAAAATAAGGATTTTTTAGAAATTTGGAAGTAAAACCCTGAGAGATTGTAGTAATCAATAACTTTTGAATGTTTTAGATTCTGTCACCACAAGCTGTTCAAAAACTGACTCACAAAATTTTACACAAATACCACAATGCTTCTTGTACAAAAACCAGTACAGGTCACTGTACATCAAAGCTTCTTCTCTTGTAAACAATAATTCATCCATCATGCTATTCCAGATGAAGATTCAAAGTCTCCTTAATCCATCAGGATATATCACTATGCTTAATTTAGATACGTTAAACGGATCACAGAATGCTAAAGAATAAAGTTAGAAGGGTCCCCAAGAGGTTGTCCAAATCTGAAACGGAATCAGTTAGGGTTAAGCCAATCTCTTATTAAACTAGCTAAAAAAGCTGGAAAAAAAAATACACAGACTTCAAGGCACATAAGCTCTTCTTTAGATCCTAAGAAGGACAGTGTGCCTGAAAGCTTGTGTCCATCTTCCAGCTGCATCAGTTGATCTAATAAAATATATTGCTTCATTCCACAAATCTTGTCCTGTTTCAGCCTTTAGACCAACACAACTACAGCAAGACTACCACTAAGCCATTGTTGGCAAGTTTACATTTTAAAATCTGTTACCTTTGAGGATATCATGATTCTCTTAAATGTGTTGCAGTGTTTAACTATCTTCCCTATTAAAAAATTAAAAAATATTCTAATGTCTAATCTACTTTTGCTATTTATATGACTTTTTTTTTCCCTGCACACAGGAAGGAATGGAAAAAAGATTTTCCTTGTAGCAATGCTTCACATATGCAAAGATTGTTGTTGCATCTTCCCTTAGTTTTCTTTTCAGACTGTATAGCTTCAGAACTCATTTATCTTTTACTCCCAGTTGGTTTTAGAACCTCTGCAGCCATCCTTGTTGCTGATCTCTGGACACTTTCAGACAATCATGGCTTTGTGGTCACAGTAGTGACCAATATCAGCAGAATACTCAGCCAAGACCTTAAAAGAGCTTTAGCAGGAACTGAGATTAGAGCACTTTTTTTCTTTTTTGTGAGGGCTATGTTCAGACATTTAGGAGTAATTTAGGACAAAGAGAGAGGGAGAAGCTAGGTGGCCTTCAGTTTCTCTAAGAGATGTTTTTACCAACTACATCTTTAGCACACAGGTTTCCAAGTTTCATCTAAAACCACTATTGTGCCACATAGATGTTCTTCATATCTTTTACTGTGAGACATGAGACATGGTTCCAGATCCTATAGTTTGTACAAACTTAATCTTTGCTACCATGCTCTCGCAAATGCAAAATTAAAACCCCTCTGCAAAGCTCTTAAATAGTTTCTGGAGAAAAACTCCCACAGTATCCATCTCTTCTACTATTTTCTTCCTGAATACAGAATTTCAGGTTCTCTTAGCTGTGGCCTCAGATATCTGAAAGGCAAGGCTTGTAAACCAAAAATCATATTAATTGTATTTTCTTCCCATTTAGGTGATTTCAGTTGCCTAATAAAGTAACTACTTCTATAGCACTGCGTGATAATTACAACACACCTATCCAGAGCTTTATCGTTGTCACTTGGTGCATGGAATTACTACCATTAGAATTTACAGTCTGGCAATGAAAAGAAAGAAACCAACAGGGAAGATAATATATTGCTGCCCTTCTGGGATGCTGGTCAGTTGCAAATGTAAGGCTGGGGAAAAAAAATGCAAGCATCATTTCACTTGCAATAATTTTAACAGTTAACACTAAAAATTTCAAGATTTGGACTTCTATTTATGGGTTGTTCTTTGTCTTGAGTATAACTCACACTGAAAGCATGATTCAGTCTCATACTTAGGCAAAAGCTGATAGTAAGTGACAACGTTTTTCTGTACTTTTTATTTCTTTTATAAATGGGTAGAAGTTAAATAAAAGGTGTTTTTAAAAGTTTAGAGTTTGACTACTTTGTTCTCATGCTATGGTTTCAACAGTCCTTCATACTACCAGATTCAGACAAATGTTTTTTTCAGCCAACATGTCAGTACCTAAAAGTGTGAGGTTTAAGCAGGTATACATGCTCTTTGACAAGGCCTATTCTCATTCTCATGATGACCTGTTTGGGGAAAGCACCTGAATATAAACATAATTTCTGGTAAAAAACATCTATTAGGTTAACAAATTTGAGGTCAATCTCACTGGCAGCAAACTGTATCAGAAGTCAATTCACAGTATGTTGCATCTTGTGTTCAAAGCTTTCTATAAGTATGAGCAAATAAAACCTCATGATACCGCAGAAAGCTAACAAAATAATGTCGTTTTCATCTTGGGTGGAAGGAAAGTGAAGTCACTAAAGGTCATACAGTAAATCAGACACAGAATAAGAAACTTGGGCTCCTAATCCCCAGCTCTGTACTAAGCCTTCCAGATCACACTGTCTTAACATGGATGGAATTTAGATGAACTCCAGTACCTGCTATTCCTCAGAGAAATATAAAAGTATGTGCCCCTTGCTACTCAGGGCATAGCAGTAAGCAGGAAAGCCAATTCACAGAAAATAGCTCTGAATTCCTTTGAGCTGTAATCTAAAGGAAAAAGAGGCACTTGAAAGGTGGAAAAAAATATTATTTACAAGCATAGAAATGCAAATTAATTTGTTACTTTAGATTTGTCTGCTGATGCTTGTGTGTTTCCCCTTTTGAACTCTGCTGCATAGACTATTTTCCATTCTTTGTATGACACATTCCAAAACAGCATCCTAATTACCACGTTTATATACTACCATAATAATTAAATATCCCAGAAACTTATTCTATGAATGTTTAAAGAAAACAAAAAAGAGTTTATGTTAACAAGCTTCTGAAGAGAAAGTATTTTAGAAACAAGTCAGCTTCCCCCTCCCGTTGCCCTCTGCTGGTTGCAGTATTGTATTCAACTCGCACAAGCACTAGTGTAAGGCTAAACACTGCTGAGAGGATTTGCTACCAGTTATTTGAATAGGACAGAATTGTATAAATCATAGAAGGATAGTTCAGTATATTCCTTCCAGACTCAATGTCTTTCTGAGTCTACTACAGTACAAGGTTATTCAGTAGTCTCAGACAACAGCTTCACTCAGTGATCTAGCAGATCATTGAGAAAGATGCTCTAGCCTGCAATCAGTAATTATTGTTTCATAGGGGTGCAAAATACTATGTCGCTGAATATATTATCATAGAATCATAGAATGGTTTAGGGTGGAAAGGACCTTCAAGATCATTTAGTTCCAACCCCTTCTGGCATGGTCAGGGACACCTCCCACCAGGTTGCTCAAAGCCCCATCCAGCCTGGCCTTGAACACTTCCAGGGAGGGGGCTGCCACAACTTCTCTGGGCAACCTATTCCAGTGCCTCATCATCCTCACAGTAAAGAATTTCTTCCTAGTTTAAATCTACTCTCTTTCAGTTTGAAACTGTTACGCCTTGTCCTATCATTACAGTTGCTTATAGAAGAGTTCCTTCCCTTCTTCCCTGCAGGTCCTCTTTAAGCCCTGAAAGGCTACTACATTGCCTCCCCAGAAACTCTGTTATAACTAGTTAAGTATCAGAACAAAATAATTTTGTTCTCCGCTCTCTTTTAAATATGCATTTTCATCTCAGGTGCATCTACAGAGAAGTAGGGGCACTGAGCTCCTGTAAAAAACCTGAAGAAACATGCCAGACGAAGGAAGCTCTGTGGAGTGAGAAATGCCACCTGCATACCCGGAGTGAAATAGCAGAGAGCTGTGGCTTTCTGCTCAGCTTGGAGAAGCAAGAATGAGAAATGTAGTAAAGATTCTCAACTGGGAGTGTATTTTACCAAAAGGTAATCCAAAATCACGAAACAGATAAGGGTAGCACCAGCGTTCCTAAAAAACTGGGGAGGCACCTCAGAGTTAACAGGATCCCCTTTAGTTTGGGCACAATGTAGTGACCCAAAGTGAGCTCTTCAGACCTCTGCTGAAAATCTATGAAATAGTAAAAATAGTCTGAATAAAACCTAGGTTTCACATAATGTGCAAATCTTTTGCACAGCCTTTGATGTTCCCAGCTACAAATGGGAGTGAGGAAGAAAGTGGGAAAAAATTATATTAACACAGGCATTAAAGAAAAGAGGATCAGAATTTAAAAAAAAAAAAGTAGGAGAGAAATATAAACTCAGAAAATGCTCCTACCGTGCATGGTTTTCCTTACTGCTAGGACTCTACTAGA